CTTCTGCGAATTGTCCTGACATCTGGTTGGTGATCTGAGTTCTCAAATCTTGCAGGCCTTGTTGAATGAATTCTTCTATACTCTCGGGTGCGCGTTGCTTCTCCTATGTTCCTCTAACTGGACTCTTCCAATTGTTGTTATTGGGCTCAAATTATTGTTGACATCATGTTTCCAGGAAGTGATGAGAAAGAGCGAGCACATAATGGGACGGTAAAATGTGTTTCTCTTATTCATTATATAGACCCCCATTTATTGGCATAGGTCTGAGCATCACATAAATACATTCTAGCCCCCTCATTATGAATTTTTTAATGAGACTTTTTAGTAATTACTGCGTTATTTGCATATAATAAGACCATTGACTAATTCAATATATAAGAGTTGTCGATCGTCTGGTAACCCTTGACTCAATCAATATCTAATCCGAAAGAAAGACTCCTATCAATCGTTATGAGCACCGATACCCACCCTGCGAAATATCTTCTAGCACTTTTCACCAATCATTCAGACAATTTGACTCTCTTGCTAACAACCAATTCAAGATGTCAACTTCTATGATATGTCATATCGTCAATATCATCCTCCTGGATCATTTTTAAATTTAGAAATTCATGCCGACATATTCTTATATGCACATAAAATAATAATAATAATAATAATAAATAATAATAATAATAATAAATAAAAATAAAGAAGAATAATACTACGCTTGATTCCAGGAAACAGAAGAACATTACAAAATTTGCTCCATGTGGCATGTACTAAATTAATCTCATTTTTTATCTAAATTTATTCCTCACCGTACATCAAAATTATTATTCAAACGGTTGACCCGTTCCACCTATAGTCAACCTGCGGCCGCCGGTAACCTGCAGTTGCTTGGAATGCAAGCTTCGGGCAAAACACCCTTCCATATTTACTTACATACCAATCAATTGCTACATATTTACATATCTAATATTTAAGCTTCAATTTTTACATACATACCATCTTGTCCATGCATTGAAATTGTGAATTTCACTTTTTAGAAGTTTTCAAAAAATTGTATTTTTATGTGATACGACAAATTAGAGCGGCCGAAATGTAATACAAAATTTAGATGTTTTTCAAAATATCATATGTACATAGGGCTGTTAAAATGATTCGTTGTTCGTGAACAGCTCGTGTTCAGTTCGTTCGTTAAGTTAATGAGTCGAATACGAACAAAAATTTATTATTTTATGTTCGGCTCATTTTGGCTCGAAATACTACTCATATATGTATTGTTGCGTAGTAATTTTATAAAAATTAATTGACCACAAGGCTACAAAGATTTATAATCAATTAAAAGTATTAATTAAGAAAATAGAATAAAAATTATTAAATTAGATTCAAATGATATTTTAATATAAATAATAACTTTTAAATCTTGTCTTAATCCTTAAATCTTGTGGCTTCGTGATTAGGGGTGTTAAAACGACTCTTTGTTCGTGAACGACGTGAACGACTCGTGTTCGGCTCGCTAAGCAAACGAGCCGAACAGGAATACACATTTTAAGCTCGAAATATGAACGAGCCAAACAAGAGCTGAGTCTGGGCTCGCTTGTGTTCGGCTCGTTTACACCCCTATTAATATACATATATATGTAAATTTAGATGTGAGATATGCAAATACATAAAAATTGTGTGGTAAGTATGTAAATTTGCCTATTAAAAAATCCCAATCTATTACATCACACAAACCACTTGTTATAGACAAAAAGATTGTGTTGGGATATTTCTGTAGAATTAGGGATTTTATATAAGGAGCACTCTTAATTTCTATATGATATGGTCAGATATGTTGTTCAATTTTGTCACGTGAGGTGAGGACCGACTGGAGGAGGCCCAGGTTCAATGTACCTAGAGCTCATCATGTCACCTGACTTCATCAAGACCGTCAACACTTCTGAGTGCATGTATATAACTAAGATAATAATTCTACCGGTTAATTTATTTGCTGGTGGTGAATATATATAATTATTCCTCTAAAAATTGTCATTTCAAATTCCATATCATAGGCCTTTTTCAAGAGAAATTATTATGTGCGGCGACCGTATGTCTGGATGATGGTTCAGACTGGCAGCTTACGTGACATGGTCCGCAGATGATAACTTTTAGGCATGTATAATAGATGTCAATTTGGGTTGCTCCAAGTATTTCAAATGCATCAAAATTTTGTCCATTTTGCAATCAAGAGAAAGTTCTAAACCATTTTGGAGGCTATCATGGCAATTCTATCTTGCTTTGTATGAATCGTGTTTTTAGTCTATCGCTTTTGTTAGAATTTGTTGAATCAACTTCTAATTGCTCATTTGGAAGATTTTGATGTTTCGTATGTGACGGTGAAGTCTGTGTTCTTCAAGAAACATTATTTGTATAGGTTTAACTTCTTAAGCGAACTTCTCTGGATTTGTGTGTGGTCGTGTTGTTTCTCCTGGACTCATTTGAACATATCACTAGAAGAAGCATAGAGATGAACAATCGTCTCAAGAAAATATTGATAATAGAAGACGACAATCTTGATATAAATTAGTTTGTTCCAACAAAAACCTAGTTTCACTTAATGTTGAGAAGTGGAGTGCATTCCAAAATTAATATATTTTTAAGATATAATATGACCAACTCAAAGCTATGAAAAATTATTGTGTGAAGTCTGTGTGCATGCAAACTCCGTGGATAACAATATTGTACATTATTACAACAATGTACAATAATATTGCAAATCAATATTTCCTGATGTAACTAGAGCTTAAATTAAAAGGTTCAAACTATGTTAGGTCAACAATCCACCACAAATGTATAATAGAAATTTGTGTTTCAACTTGACTTTTCCTGATTTAAATTGTTACTGAAAATATAACCAAAAGTTCTTTGGAAAAGAAATTACATTACTGTACATTAAAAAAATATGTTTGTACGAATTTCAAAGCAGATGAACGGCTCAAGAAGATGTGGATAATCAAACATAACCTTCGACAATCGTTTTTAGCTTAATATTGACAAGAAAAGTGCATTGCTTGAACGATCAACACAAGATGCTAGGAGAACCTCTCACAGGACAGAAAAAAAAGCTTCAAAACGATCGATGGCAGCACTCTTTCAGACTATATATCGATCGAGTTAAAGATTACCATACTATCGACAACCTTCATCAATTGAATCGGTTCTCGGTCTTCATACATAAACTTGCCGCCCAACCTGAAAATGTCATTTTGGCTATCCCTAGGCTGAGCGGGAACAGTCTTTCTAATGACCAACAGTTTCAAATACAGACGCATCACTTCGTAAAGATTGCACCCCCACCCCCCTCCCCGCAAAAAACCGCAAGCTCCTCGCACAGTGAAACAACTTTCCTCTCCACTTGGTCGCCTCTCTAAAGAACCTCAATAATTATTTGTCACCATCTCCTCGAGGATACCCCATAAAACGAAGAAAACACTCCTCCATCTCAGCAAGGCAGCGAAATATGAAGTTAGAGGACACACGGCGGCTCCCGGTCGCCTCCTCCTCTCTCGAAGCATAAGAAAAAAACCAAATGACCTGCATCCTAGCCTCCAACACCCTATCCTTCAACACCCTACCTTTAAGCACCATGATCCTTGCATCTCGCTTAGCACCTTGCTCTGATGTACTCAGTTCTGCCATATCCTACCCCCGCAACAACCTATCCCGTATTCACTTCCTTGACCATAACCTGGTCTACAGTCGTTGCGTCATCCTCAAAACCAATGTTAGCATCTAGCGATACATAATCGACAGCCAGGACATAAGTTGTTGAAAAAATAGATGCAAAAGGCTATTCAAGCTACATAACAAGAATCAGCCCCAATTCAAATGTGGTGTAAGAAAATATCCTCACCGACTTTCCCTTGTCATCCACCTTCAGAAAAAGTATCACTCGTAGTCAATCAAAGACATGTCTCAGCCTCAACCGTCGTCCCATTAGGACTCTTTGAGGAACCGTGACCATCGCAACCACCTGGAAAGACAATTCTCTCCTGCAGCAGGAACACTCACCCCTAGCAAGTTTCCCATAGGATGATCGTCAGAACGCCCTCTAGCCTATTCTACAGCCCTCTCCTGAGGGGAGCCCACAAGAAAAACGAAAGAATCAAATCGACTCTCACGACTGTCGGCTCCTGGTTTAGGCACAGTTCTCTTCCTACTCATCACTCCTTCTGCGGATACTTCACCTGTCAGTATACGTTGCATGCCCAATTTACGGGTCTACATCCACATATCACTCATGGCTTTGAGGATGACACTCTTATCGGAAGGTGACGCTCCTTCTTCAGACATCAAGAAAAACACGAAAGTGAAGGACATGAGACAAATGAGCTAGAAGAGAGTGAGACGATGCAAAGCTCCCTTGCCCCAGTCTTTTTATAATGATCTGGGCACAAAAATCTAGGGAAATCCATTATTGTTTAATAATATCATTTAATTATTTCATGTGTTAAAAATATTATCTTATCTTCATGCACTTTAAAGCTTCCGAGAAACAAGAAAATCAGAGAATTGAATATGTAGATATAAAAATATGTCAACACAAATTTTAAAGTAGATTAACGGCTCAGGAAGAAAATGACAATCAAACATAACCTTCGACGATACCTTTTGGCAAAATATTGGCAAGAGAAACACTATGTTTGAACGATCGACAGAATGCGCAAGGAGAAGCTCCCGCAGGGTAGTAATCGGCCTTCATGACAATTGAAGGTGAGCACTTTTGGATTCAATATTTACAAACAACAAATGTGTTTTCAACAAAGAAATTATTCCCTTTTCACAATAAAACACATTAGCATATTAAAAATTACAAATCCCTTAAATCCACCACATTTATCTCCATCACCTCACACTACAAAAAATTCAAAGTTAAGCCTTCCCAAACCCTACAAGCTAGTTCATAGTTTGCTAGATGAGCTTTAATCCTAACACCATGCATACACATACACTAACATTTTGATCCATCCAAATCAAAAACATGTAGGTTTCCAAGTAGAGAGGCCATAAAAGATGCGACCTTTCCATCCTTCAAGCATCCATTTACCATCTTCATCCATGTTAAAATCCTTATGGTAGAAAGTTTTTACCCCCGCCCTGGCCTTCTTTACAAGTTCCTTGCTTATGCTTAACTGCTCAAACCCAGCCCTCAAAATCCTCACCTGCCACTGCTTGTAAGTCTCCGGCCTCTCCCTCTCCAGTCCCTCACAAGAGATCACATTGATCAGTCGCTTTCGATACAGATCCCTCTCAACCAACATCCTCTGCTCGTTCTCCCTTGGCGCCGTGGAGTCCAGCATGTCGAAAACCGCCGAGAAGTAATACATTGCCTCGTGAAAGCTGCTCATGAAGAATGGGGCACCATAGGTTCCATTCACCACCACGTTCACAAACATGGCTGGATTCAGTTCTCTAATGGTGTTCAGCACCTTGTCCCTGGGGCAGTGTTCCGTTACTGTTTCATCAGCTGGGTCATGCAGGCGAAACAAACAATTTACAACTAGCAACTCATCTTCTTCAATGTGGAGATCCTCAACCCTAACCTCATCGAACATGGCTGCCACTACGTGGTACTCGAAGGGGACACCGAATCTCTCTACGAATTTGGCTAACCGACGGCCAGTCTCCTGAATCCTCTCGGTCGGACCGAAGTCGGGTTCAGGGATTTCAATGCCTGTGATTCGAAGCTTTGGGGGTTCGTCGGGGCGGTCGGAAAGCTGCTTTATAAAGCTTGGCCATTGGAAACCGAAGTCTATGCCGAAATCCAATATGTGGACTCTAGTTGCATGCTGAATTGTGTCTAAAATGGTTTGATTTGTTAAGTGGTAGGTGATCTTCTTGAAAGGGAAGCAGGCGAGGTAAAGTTGGTAGGCCTTTAACATATCGCTGACCGTCCTGCGCTTAGATACAAGGGAATGGTAGACCTCACTGCCAGTTCCGGCGAGACGGGCCTTGAGGCCGTTTGCGAAGTAGTGGGCAAGCCTCTGGGAGGCATCGCCATAAGGAGAAGAATGCTGGCTGATTTGCTTCAGTAGCTCGCAGGCTCTAGGTTTGTCGCCGCTGGCATAGGTTTGTGCACAGTGGACAAGAAGAGTATTGAAATCCACTACTTCTTTTTGTTGCTTCTTCCAACTAGACTTTCGATGAACGTCAGATTCATTGGGGTTGGAATTTTTGGAATCAGTTCCAGCTTCTTTGAACATCTTCTCACGAATCACATTCACGACTTGGGAAAACCTTTCGCAGCTGCAGAGCAGTACATCGTCGAACAACTCCGAGGGAATAACCGGCTCTTCGTAGAAGACAGCTGACGGTTTGATTCTCCTTGATCTTCGTAGCCTGATTCATCCCGATGATGACTCTTCTGACTTCTTACTTCTTCGACGGGGTCTTGCAGAAAGCTCAGATCTATTCCTCTGACTTTGAGGGCCAGCTTATCTTCACTTGGGAGGAACCTTTTCGCTTATTCGATTCCCTTCTCAAACTCGAAAATGGGGACGGTTTGGAACAAAATATCGCTCTCACCACCATTAACCGAGCTACGAGAAGAGAACAAATCAGAAAGCAGAATCTGGTAATTTTGGTACTCAGGAAATTCGGAGTTATCCTGAAACGACTGGACGCTACTGTTGCTCGAGTTCCGGCACAGGTTGTTGTCGGGACTCGCAGAGGTTGGACTAGAGTGCAGAAGCAATTGATTCGGCGAAGAAGGTTACTTCTCACCTATGAGCTCATAAAAAGGTTTCTCGGTGGCTTCGAGATCCGGATGGCTCTGAAGCGTGTCGTACTTGTCGTCCAAGTCTTCCTCTAAGAGCATCTGGTTGATGTAATCAAGCACTAGATTAGAAAAAAGCTCAGAGCGGTCATGGAATACTCTCTCATGGCTCTGAGAACTAAAAACAGGGGATTCAGCGAAGTTATTCGGCTCGTAGAAAGAGAAATCGCCATAACTAAAATCATATGCAACAATCAAATCCTTCGACATACCCGCCGCAAAGCCGATTACTGTGAGCTTACAGGGACATCCGGGATCTTCAAGCTATGGCGCGCTGTAAGGAACGGAAATAAACCCTAGAAAATCAAGTGGAAGAGGAGAAGTGGATTAGCTCTGTGTTTTGTCTCAGAACCGAGCTAAGATACTATGATTCTCCGGGGATCGTGATCTCGTCCTATATTACTAGTGGAGTTGTTTGTTAGCGAATTCTGGGAACCTGCGAAAGCCGATTCTCCGGTCACCGGCATGGAATTTCAAAATTAAATCAAATTAATTTTTTAAATTAAGAGTGACTAATAAAACCATTAAAAAACTTAAAAAGCTATGCTACCTATTACTCGCCGAAATTTTCTTTTCTTGTTATCTCTCACATTAGATAAAATACCAAGTCCAACGTCGGCATATATCACATTGTAGATGTATTAATTGAACTTAATATTTTCTTCCTAATTCACCCTCAAATCTAATGATTTTGGTCATCGTTCTCATCAATTGTGCCCCTCGATCGCATGAATCATCTTATTCCTACTAACATTTATCAGGTGCATAATATGTACCTACGCATTACACACCTAATTGTTGTGAAGAACGACGGGAATAAAGTGAAAAATATATTAAGATAAAAGAAGAGACCTAAAAGAAAAGAAGCATATGCCCATATGCACAAGAATACAGTTCAAATATCTCAATTCACATTGTTTCACCTCTAAGGATTTAAATTGGGCTATTACAAATAAGTGTGAGGATTTTGGAGGAGAAGAGACTGAAAAGGAATAGCAGAGGGCATGCGACATCAAAAGGTGTTGCCACTTGCCAGAGAATACTCGAAAGTAGTTGAAGCTCTTCAAAGGAGGAATATATAGGAATGTTTTGGGTGTGAGTCGGTTTTCTTCTGAGTGTGATCAAGTGTGGGTGAGTGAGATTGAGTGTATTGTGTATTCAAAGAGGAAAATCACACTTGATTCGTTATAAACACTTGTAATTCAGTAGAGCATCTTGGTGAGATTTTCTTAACTTGTATCTTCTTTGGTTTTAAAATGGATTGTTTGTTATGTTTCTTTCAAATGAATAGTAGCTAAATTTTTCAACCCCTTGAGTTGGTAATCAATGATGTCAGAACTATCCTTATAGTGTGATTGATTTATTGGTTGTAGAATGTTGATATGTTACCATTTTGTTTGTGCTTCATTCAAAAATTGATCATTTATGATGTTAAAATATGTTGTGATTAGTACTATTGAAGTAGACTAGTGGAAAAATTAGGTTAACATACACTTATTTAAAACAAAATAAGTAGGGAAACACATGAACATGAGAGTTTTTGCATGGCTAAAGAGCTGGCTGTAATATAAAACACTAATATTTTTAAGTCCGCAGAAGTAGCCAAAGAATATTTTTGTTCCTAGTTGTCAACAACATTAGAGTCAAATAGATAACTCTAAATTGCTAGGTTAAATTTAATGGAGTTTTCCTCACTTTTAAAACCATAAAACTTAATAGGTTTTAATTATTTGAAAACCAGGAATAACAACTTTCAAATACCAAAAAAATTGAATATTTCTGGCTAGACTTAAAAACAATAAATTAGAACTTTTCATTTTTTTGAAAAGTTAAATTATTTTATGGGATGAAAATATGGACTCATGATACGTGTATTACTTGATTGACATGTATATTTGTGATATTGTCGTTGTTTTACAGCATTTCGGAAATAAACTTTTTGGCATTGTTGTCGTTGTTAAATTTTCATTTATAGGAAAATATTAGTTGAAGCCTTCTTATTTGTTGTGTATATACAAAATTCAAAAATTTTACGCTTTCTTATTTTTATGCTATGAAAAATTTTTGTTTTATTGCATTTTTGTGAATGTGAATTTGTTTGTGGAGTTTTCTATGATTTTAGCACATAAAACTGCTTAGTTTTGAGGGCAAAGCCCGTCTATTCCATTACCAAACTCCTGCTATTTTTTTCTTTAAAAATATGATAAACAATGCATTGTATGGCTAGGAAATATATTTTTTTTCTTCTACAGCAGTTGGTCATGGATTATACGCATTCCAAAATATGTAACAGAGCCAGGCTAAAGGGAATGATATCAGTCATTGGCAGCTATCCTTTTGAGGATGGCATTAGAGAAAGAGAACGAGAAGCATGGGTGATTAACTAAGGCTCCGTTATTTGGGCAACTTATCCGCTATGTTGGCATTTTTTAAACGTCACCTCACCATATCCGTCATTGAAAATTGTATTTGAGCAGCTTATCCGAAAATGTAGTTAATTTTTTATACTACACGTGGAGCGCGGGTTGAATCCCATGGCCCGTGTTTTCATATAAGAGATTTATTTGGATAAACACAAGCTGCCCCACACACACTCTAATTCATCTTCCATATAACCGAGAGAGCACTTAGTAGTATATTGAATGTGCCTAAATAAGAGAGCATTAATAGTTTAAGAGCACATTGTACAACCATACAAGAATAAATAGAGTACCTCGAGACATAGTAATGTCATTTGTGAGCTATCCATTGAATGGGAGGGGATAAGACATATATGCCAGAACAAATAGTAGCTAAGGTAGGATCAGCCAAACCTTTCAAAAGGGTCCCGAACAAGGGTAAACTGACACAGAAGCCGGCCAAATCAAATGTTGACCAACTCGAAGACCACTCAGATAGAGGCCAATAGACAAGAGGACGATTCACCATATATTCAACAATTGCATGGCATGAAGTCGATCAATTGGGAGTCAATTAATTAAAAAAGATAAGGGATGTATTTATCATTTCACACTATTCATAGCCTTTATAAATAGAGAAGCATTAAAATATCCCATCTCTTTGTACATTTCTCTCTCCTTACCACAACAATTTTGGATTCAATAATATAAAACATCTAAATTTGGATTCAATAATATAAAACACCTATATTTTGATATTTATATATATATATATAATACTTTAGTGTCATAATCACATAAAAATATATGCAGACAAGTTGCATTTCACTTTACAAAATTAATATTATTGATATTTTTGATATGATGTTAGCGATTTAAATATTATTCAAGTAAATATCAAATGTTAAACATTAGACACGAATATAAATAAAAATTATGTGGGATGTATCTAAATCCATGTACACATCATTATCATTTCAGATTTTCATGCTCTTATTATATTTCAAAAATGAATAAGAAAATACATAACAACAAAACTAGCAAAGTAAATCACATTTGTATAAATTTTAGGTGGTGACGAACTGACGATACAATTAAGAAGGTTTCCAAGCAGAGAGAGCGTACAAGATGCGGCCTTTCCATCCTACAAGCAGCCATCGATCATCTTCATCGATGCAGAAATCCTCGTGGTAGATTGATCTCACTCCATCCTTCACTTTCTTCACAAACCGTCTGCTGTTCGGCGCCATTCCAAACCCTGCCCTCAAGCACCTCACTTGCCACTGCCTGTATGTCTCCGGTCTCTCCCTCTCCAATCCCTCACACGAGATGGCGTTGATCAGCAGCCGCCCATACAGATCCCTCTCCACCATCAGCCTCGTCTCGCTCTCCCTTATCGTAGTCGCATCAATCATGTCGAACACAGCAGAAAAATGATACAGTGCCTCTCGAACCCTGGTCATGAACAATGGAGCGCCATAGGTTCCATTCAGAACAACATTCACAAACACAGCTGGGTTCAGTTTTCTAATGGTGTTGAGCACCTTATCCCTCGGGCATTCTTCGAATACGGTTTCATCCGCCGGACTATGCAACCGAAACAAACAATTCGCAACCAGCATCTCTTCTTCGTCTATAGAAAGCTCCTCGACATTGATCTCGTCGAACTTAGCTGCGATGCCGTGGTACTCAAATGGAACACCGAATCGCTCTGCATAATCTGTCAGCCGACGCCCTGTTTCCTCTATCATCTTTGTAGGGCGGAAGCCGGGCTGAGGAATGTCGATGCCGGTGATGCGGAGCTTTGGCGGCCCGCCGGACCTTAAAGACAGAAGCTTTAAGAAAACTGGCCACTGGAAGCCGAAGTAGATGCCGAAATCCAATATGTGGACTCTGTCTGCGTTCTGAATTGTGTCTAAGATAGTTTGGTTTGCGAAGTGGTAGGAGATCTTCTTAAAAGGGCAGCTTGCGAGGTAGAGTTTGTAGGCGCTCAATGCGTCCTTCAGTGTTTTTTGATTGAATGCAACGGAATGGTGGAGCTCGCTTCCAGTTCCGGAGAGACGGGCCTCGAGGCCGTCGGCAAAGTAATGAGCAAGTCTCTGAGAGGCGTCACCATGAGGAGATGAATGCTGCCGGATTTGCTTCAGTAGTTCATAGGCTCTCCGGCTGTCGTAATTGGCCGCTGTCTGTGCACAGAGGAGGAGAAGAGTTTGGATATCGGCCTCCTCCGCGTCCTCCGTCTTCTTTGGTTGCTTCGTCTTGGAAGATTTTCGGCGAGTGCCGAGTTCTTTTGGCTCGGTGTTTTGGGAATTCAAGCTTGCTTCTTTGTAAAAATCCTTTCTTATCGCTTTCACGATTTTGGGAAATTTATCGCCGGAGCAGAGGAGGAGTTCGTCTAAAATCTCCGATGGAACCGTCGGTTCTTCAGAGAAAGAGGCAGACTGCTTGCTTCTTCTCGCCTCTTCGTTGGTCCATTCGTCGGAAGAACGATTCTGCTTCCTCCTAGCTCCTTCGATTGGCTCCCGTTGCAAGGTGAGATCTGCTTGTGCAAAATGGTGGATGGCCAAGTTGTTTTCATTTGGGAGGAACTTCTTAGCTTCTTCGACTCCCTTATGGAACTCAGATGTTGGGAGATATCTGAAGAACAGATTGGTAAATTGGTCTTCTTGAAGCCCTAAAGACGGATGGGAGGGGGAAATGTCACAATTTCGATACCAAGCGAACTCAGAGTTGGACTGAAAGAAATCGATGCCATCGCTGATTGTGTTACAACTACGATTCTCGCCGGAGCTCTCCGGTGGTGATCGATCCGGCGAAGGAGGGTATTTTTCACCGATGAGCTCGTAAAAGGGTTTCTCGGTGGCCTCCAGTTCTGGATGACTCTGAAGCACGTCGACGTCTTCCTCCATAAACAACTGTTTGATGTAATCCAGTACCTCGTCCGAGAAAATCTGGGAGCTTTTTCTGGGATTCCCTTTCATTGCTCAGAGATTTTGACACAGGGAACTTGAAGAAGCTAATCTGTTCGTTCATGGCCGCCCGACAAAATTCTTCGACATGTATGTCATAAATTAAAAAATAATAATAATAAACACGAAAAAGGAGAGATTTTTAAGCTCTTGGGGATTCAATGGAGTCCCGCGAGAGGGAAGATATATTTGCTGATGAATCATCTCTATATAAGATGAAGGGAAAGTGGCCAGGGTGATACACCATTGCCGGCTGAGGTAAGCTAAGCAGATGTAAGTGGCGGCTGGGGACGTCCAGCAACCGGAGACCGTTCAGTTGTTACCGGCTGCTTCCAGTGATAGATCGGCGGCGGTTAGTGATTGGTCAACTGATCTACAGGTTTTTGGCAGTCCATACTTTTGTAAGATTACAAACATATTTTTTCTTTTATATTTGAGTTATCTCCTTTTTTTCTAAATTAAAATATTTTTATAAAATATATGCCCCCTTTTTCCATAATTCCACGAAGAACTTCCATATTTTAAAATAAGTTTGGCAAATGTTAAAAAAGACAGCGGCTTGTTTATCCTAATCACACTTAATTGATATAACTTATTGGCTGAACAACGTGGTCTAATGGTGGGAACTCCTAGATGGAGATGATTGGTGAGTGGTGATCCGACGTCGGCGGTGGCCCAACAACGATGGTCTGATGGTAACAACAGCTTGATGGCGATGGCCAGACAATGAGGGTCCAGTTGTGGCCAAGAAGCGTCAAATATGGTCTGGTGGTGGCGGTTGCCAATCGACAGTGGTTGGGAAATGGCGGTGGTGGTTCAGCAATGACAGTGACTTAACAGTGATAGCTCGACGTTGGTGACTGGCGCCGTGGGTGCCGGGGCAGCGGGGAGCCGGTAGTGGCGGCAGCCTATCGACAGTGGTCTGACAATGGTGGGGCTTAATAACGCTCAATAGCTTGGAGCTCATTCAACTTTCTTCTTCAGACTAAGTTCTAAGTCATTTTTCATGAAGGAGATGTTTATCTATTTATAGATTTTGCGAGTGACAACCTTTTGTAAAATATTAAATGAAGCTAGATCACACAATCGAACGGTCCGAAGCAATTTATTTGATCGAATGATATTCAATGGTGTTTGATGCCTTAATGATATCATAATCGAGTGATCTTGGCCTCGTTGGTTTCGGCTTGACAAGACACTCGATTTGACTACAAGTTTTTAAGATTTGAAATTCATTTCACCATTCAATTGATCATCCAAAGGTTTTAAGTGTGCTTAAAAAACATTATCTAGGCTTGATCGGACTTGCCTTGTACCCAATCGGACTTTGCTTGATCTTCATATCCCCTTAAACGGCTTGATCAGATTCGTGCTTGGCCATTTGTAGATTCACTGGGCTTGCCTTGTTTAGACATCAATTTGACTATAAGTTTGATAAAAGTGGAGCTTGGATGATCATGAATTTGTGTTCGGAATTTTTCCTTGCACAAAAGATTTTGAGATTCATGCATGATATTATTTTTTGATGATGTATCAAGTATTGTATTTAGCATATTTGTATTTCATAAATACAATTAATTAGCGTGGGCTCCTATTCATGGCCGGCTTCACCCATATTCACCTTTTAGAAAAAATTTGATTTTTAAACCATTGAATTTATTTTTATCCGAGCAAAAAATGTACAAATAACTAATTAAAAATTTCGTTTAATACATTTTAAATAAATTTAATAAATTGAAATATATATTGAATGAAATTTAATTAAAATAGTTGACTCAAACTTTTTATCCAACGTGATTGAAAGGATTAAATCATATCTAAAAAATATATAAATTAAATTAATTTATAATTTAACTAAATGTGGTAAGATATTTGTGACATCATCAAAATCCGGCTTATCGGAATCTTATGGTAATGTGTTGAAATTTTTCTTAAACTAACTTACAGCCGAATTGATTATCACGATAAAACGTATCCATCAATGTAAAATGTGATTCATAATTAGTCCAAATAAGCTCAAATCAAACACTTAAAATAGAATTAGAAGCTTTAAAATATTAATTGGACAATCAAATGATATACCAATGCGGATTGTTCATCGTCAAATCAAGCTTCTCAATGAAAAGAAATCAATAAGGCTATGACGACTCAATTCTAAGGCTACTAAAAACTCATACAACGTTGGGTAATGTGGAGACTCAGTCCACCGAATTTAATTAGTTTCTTAATTAAGTATCTCACATATCGCTCACCTACCACACCCACCTACCTGCCACCTACAACTCTCATGGTTTCTATAAATAGTCTCTTTTGGTTTAAAGGAAATGCAAGCCAAGCAAAACCAAGCAAGACCAAGCCAAATCATCTTGAGAGCTAAGAGAAATAGAGGAAGAGAGAGAAGAATGGAGAGAAGAAAATAGAGATTTTATTGTAAACGTCGAGGCACTTAATAGTGTAATTCCTCGAAGAAAAAAATCCTCTGCAGCTCCGTGGACGTAGGCAAATTTGCCGAACCACGTAAATCTGTGTATCGCTCTGGTGTTTTTCTGCGTCCAATTTTTTCTCATTCAATTTTTCGCTTTATCGTCGTCGTTTTTCATAACTATTCAAAGAATACGTCATAATTAATGAAATTAAAATGAGCCATTCGATGAAGCATTTTTAGTTTAACTTATCTAAACACCACTCCTCAAATATTATAAATGAAACCCATTAATAACATTAAAAATACTACAAATTTTTATTATAAATAAGTGGAAAAGTGAAATATATCTCAAGTTTGTAATAAAAAAATTAAATTTTTTAAAGTAAGAAATATAAATACATAAGAATTGAGTGGTATGTATATAAATCTTCGCAAAAAAAATATTTACATTTTTTTATATATAACTTTAATCTTAAAATAACCTACGTCTAAGGGTCCGTTTGGGGCAGCTTATAAGTGTGGGCGGCGTTTTCAAAACACCGCCTTACCGTTTGGTTCGTGCTTTTCACCAGCTTATCCGAAACTGCGTATGAGTTTTAACACGAAACGCAGGCCGCGGCCGACCCTACCCTTGCGGCTGGCCCGCGGGCCGCGTTTCAGGATAAGCAGTTTATCCTGAAACGCACAAGCTGCCCCAAACGGACCTTAAGAGTTTGTTTGGGTAGTTGCAATTTATTGAATAATTTCTTATTAAAAATAATTTGTTAATAAGATAATGTGTTGATATTATAAATTTTTATTTTAATTTTTTTTGGAAAAACAAGATTGCTGATAAAAAGCTGCCTCAGCATGTGCGTTTTCAAAAAAACAGTTCAACCAAATAAGCTGCCGCAAACGGGCCTAAACTTAACGGTGGTTCGAGTCGCCCTACTAGTAGCGGCTGCGCGGGAGATCTTCTTCTTCCGCGGTTGTCGGTATCGAGACTGAGGGAGAGCGGGAGGGGCTGCGCGTGAGTCCACAAAGCTGCGGGTCGTGTGGATTTTCTTCCGTCGTCGGTCGCTGCTGCTCCGGCGATTCGTGCGGTAGATCACGCCCCAGGTTCCGTCTTCTTCACAATCTTTCACCGGCCTATCGTACTTTTCTTTATCACATCCAATATCTTCCTTGTACTTCGGAATCGCAAAGGGAGCGTTGCTGCGGCTGGCGGGCGAGATTTTTTCCGGCGAAAAGGTTGTCGAGGAAAGAGGTAGGCTCTAGGCGTCACCCTCATTCTTCTCTGCGTTTGAAGCTAAAGTAAACCCTAAATCCAAAATTACTATTTCCTGTAATACTGTCTAATATATGTAAGGTATTGTTGCAATTAGCAAAAGATAATGTGATTAATATACTTTAGAGGTTAATTTAAACATACATTATTAGGGGTTATATGTTGATTGGAGTTGATGATATTTAACCTTTTAGTTTTCTAGATTAATAATCAGCATATGATTGCTGCACTTTGAAATAGCAGCCCGTTGAATCGAAAATCTTCAGGGAGGCACACCCAAGTAATAGAGCACGAAAAGGAGAACGAGAGAGAGGGGGATAAAGAGAGCAAAAACACAGTATAGAACAGTAAAACCTTGAAACCTTTATTCAAGAAATAAACCCCATATTTATAGAGATGAGGTGTGTGCAATTATATTTTTGAACTTCAAGCAGACGTCTGACCGAATATGACCAGAAGCTTATGGATTCCTCCACTTGGTCTTTTTGGGGTTGGGTGGTCATTTGTTGGAGACCTGGAGACCCTACCGATTATGCAATTTCTTGAGGGTTATGCTTGAAAAGAAGGGCCGGGAAACTCTGGCCGGTTGCTTCGGACTCGAACGATTTGGCTCGATCGCCGACCTTGCTAGAGAGAAAGCTGTTGGAATTGTTTGCGGGAGTATTGTGCTAGTGGAATTTCAGGAGAATGGTTAGATTATTTTTGTCTGGAAATTATCTTTTTTCGGCCTGTACGAGCTGACTGACTGGGCTTGAGATTTTGGATTGTCTCTAGTGGGTCCCAGGATACTACGTCATCTCTTTTGTCAACTGTCAGATTTCTTTCAGATTCATGCCAACACATTTTTGATGACATATTTAAGTTCTTCGATTCTCTTGCTTTTTGATAGCGATAACTATCATAAGCACAAGTGAATCTTAAATTTTTAAAAAATATTGATATTTATGACTATTTAAAGCCAATAAATGAAAACTTCAAGGGTTTTGCGTATCGATTCCTATAAATAAAAAAGAATGAGAGAAGAACTTATATATTCTTGGCCTTTATTGGTGCGAGTTGTCTTCCTTCATCTGTTGTCAGCGATCATGGAGAACAAATTCCCCTCCAAATCAGCGAAGTTCGGTGATGATGCCTAAATGAAAGTTGTCTAGGCCATGAAGCTACGGGCAAAAAGCTTCCCGTTGAAACACGCGTCCCGAGAATCCTCTTGCAGTGGAAGTGAGACCTGGTAGATTTAGTAGGGTCATTTGACTTGCTGTCCAATCGTCGTACGAAGAGGTCCCAAGCAAGATAGGGCAAATTTTCCGTAAAGAAACACTGGGCAACAATGGTACTTCATTCGAAGGGGAGGCCGACAAAGCTATCAACTTTTGAAGGGACCTTCCTGTGTTGGTGGAGGAATAGGGGCTAGAGCTTACAGTTGCAGTGGCCTCTACTAAAGGACTCTCCGGAGGTGGATGCCTCCCTCCCGTCGGTAGAATAGGAAACTGGGGAGGGAGTTCAATCTTTTTCCACCTCTGATTTGAATCAAATATTGGATTTGCCATCAGGTCGGGGGGGGGGGGGGGGGGACTAACACCCTGCCTCCCTTAGAATGTAGTGATGGCAGGGTTGATGTGGATTTTGAATCCACCGAAAGTTCCAGACATTTGGGAGGATGTCTTGGAGATGCTACTGCTAATCTGACAGTTGATTCGGCTAAAGCGGCGGGGGCGTTTGAGGCATCCGGCTTTGTTGGGCTTCAGACTCGTGAGGCAGGAGTCAAGCTGTCTCGGGAAGCTGATCACACTCATCTTCATAGCGAGCGACTGGAAAGGCTAGAGGAGGAAGTCATCGCACTGCACACCAGGAAGTTTGTACTCCAGAGTGGAGAAGTGTCGCTCTGGGTCGAGGTTTCTGTGATCTGAGAGGCAGTTCCAGCTTCCAGACTTCAATCTGAGATTGAAAGGGTAGAGAGGGTTAGGATAGGTGGGGAAATGATGTATTGATGATTGTCTCAGTTCGATTATGTCCCGACAGAGGCAGTGACCGACGATTTTATGAAGTTTTTCCTTTCCGGGTGATGAGTTGTAACTGGAGGAATTTCTATGTAAATATTGATATTTTGCTAAAATAAAAACTTCTAATCTTTGCATATTGCAATGTGTGTTTGATGTGACTTTATTTCTGCGATTTGACACGGCAAAAGACCCTTTTTCCCTTGCGCCTCTTAAACTTTCGTGGCGTGCTTATAAGTAATGTCGATCGGTTCGGAAGAG